CTGGCAGAACCTTGCCCAGCCCGCCAGTTTGGTTTGGTGATGGCCAAAATGGCCCAGGAGCGGCGAAGCCGCTTCGAGCGAGGCAAGCACCTGCGCACAGGACGCGCGGAGGTGCTTCTGGATAGCTGGGCTCTCGCTGAGCTGGATTTGCTCACTCGGGGGAGTGAGGCCCGTGCATCGCGCACGCTTTGCAGCTGGCGCGCTCGGCGTCCACAGAGGGACCCCATACAATCCCCCTCTTCCTCCTCCTCCTCCTCCTCCTCCTCCTCCTCCTCCTCTTCCTCCTCCTCCCCCCTCCCCCCTCCCTTCCTCCCTCCTCCCTCCCTCCTTTGTCCTTCCCTCAAATCCGGGCGCTGCTACTTTTCACACCTTCGGGCTTCGGGGTCTATCACAGATCGATCCGGCTTGAAAAATGCTGCAGATAGATGGTGTTTACTCTGGTCTTGATGTCTCGCGATGTTTTTTTTCGCACCGACGGATCTCAGGGTTCCTCCTTGTTCCTGCTCATCATCCTTCTCATCGTCTTTCTTCCTTCTGCCTCCTCATCCTCCTCCTCTTCCTCCTGTTCCTCCTTCCTCCCTTTTCCTCCTCTTCTCCGCCTTTTCGCAACCCGTACGACGAGGAATCCTGCTTGGCCACATGGTTGTGCAAGTTTTTTTGGCACTGCGCATAGGAATGCGTACTGCGGCCTTGCGCCTTCGATCGTACGGGCAAGCGTGGCCGCAGGGGGGCATCCCGATCATCCAATCCACGGCGGTTGCGATAGCAAACAGAGAGTGCCAGCGAAACGTGGCAAACCCCCCTGTGTTGCTCTCCAGTTTCGTCCAGCCCGCCTTGCCCGCATGTCCGCATTGGTTCGACAGAAAGAGGGGCGCCCTGGCTCGCCCTTGCGTCCAACCCCCCTCTTGCCCCTCGTTGGCGGCCAGGCGTCGACGCTAATCATCGGCGCCGCCCCGTTGATTTTCAATCTGGCGGGCGCCACCCCGCGATTCGCCCGAGCAACATAACTATTGTCTTAAACGCGCGCCCCCCACGGATTTGTTAATCACAAGCAGACATTCGCTTAAGAACGAGTTGAGCTGAGACAGTGCTTGCGACAACGATTGACAAGACCAGTGCTGTTGCAGACTGCGACTGCTGCTGCTGCGATATTCCTTCCTCCTTCCTCGTTCCTCCTCAGGAGGAACGGGTGCCGACATCGCTGCCCTCTCTTGGTTTGGCGCCTTTCTGGACATCCTCGGAGGTCTTCGCACCCACGGCAGGATTCCCCACGAATTTCTGGTCAGAACGCGCGCTGGGAGAGGTCCGGAGCGAATGCAGTGGTGTGGGTATCTTCTGGTTTCCCCATCACCTTCTTTTGTTCGTCCTCCTAGTCCATGTGCCACCACGTCCTCCTCCAACGTGCAAGACCCCCCTTTTTTCGCTGCGCGTCGCATGACGTGTTCGCTATGGAGATCGGGTTTCGCTTGGAACACCCCATGGATGCAAAGGATGGTTAGGGAAGGGGTAGGGGATAGGTGGGAGGGGTATAGTGTGAGACATGGCGCGAGCGCATCGAGCTTTTGCTCTGTCCTTTAGCCCCTAGTGCTGCCTCTTCATCCCTCCTCATCCTCCCTCCTCCTCCGCTTCCTCCTCCTCTTCTCTCTTCTCTTCCTCCTCCTCCTCCTGTGCCACGCTCCTCAGGGAGCTCTTAGGGGGTTTCCAGGGCTTCCGGCGCTAAGGAGGTCCCGTGCTCCTCCCTTCGTGGCTCCACCCCAGGAGGCCCTCGTCGCTCCTGTGGCGTGCCCCCTTGGCCCCACCGCGGTGGCTGAAGCCTTGTTTCAGGGGCGAAGCACGTCTTCTTCGAGCAAACCCCGAAACCTGAAGCGACGCTGTCCTTCTCAAGCTTCGCTTTCGCCCTCGTTTCTCTCTCTCCCTTCTGTGCCCAATTTCTACATGCAGGCGTGTCTCCCTGCCTGGCCAGCGCCGGGTACTCAGGGAGGAAGGGCCCTGATCGCGGCCGGACACGGCCCGCAGCGATCAGGCGGCCATGATGAGGATGCGGATGATGACTCAGCTTCTGATAGATGGCGTCGGTGATGATGACGGTTCTGATGATGCTGCTGCTGATGCTGATAAAGATGATGAGGATGATGCTGCTGCTGCTGAAAATGTTGCTGCGGCTGATGCTGCTGTTTGTGATGTCGATGAAGATGAGGACGGTGATGATGATGACGGTGATGATGATAATGATGATGATGATGATGATGATGATGATGATGATGATGATGACAGTTACGATTATGGTGTTGCTGATTCTGATTATGTCTACGATGATGATATGATGCTGATGATGTTGATGACGGCGATGACGACTATGGTGCTGATACTTATGTAGATCTGTAATTACGATGATGGTGATGATGCTGATTACGACGATGATGATGATGATGATGATGATGATGATGATGATGATGATGATGATGATGATGATGATGATGATGATGATCGTGCTTGATGATAATGATGGTGATGATGATCATTCTGATCATGAGGGTGACACTACCGATGAAGCTGATACTGATGATGGTGGTGGTATTGATGGAGGTGATTTCTAGGAGCACAAGTACGATGGTGGTGGTGATGATGATCACGATGATTATGATGATGACGATGATGATGTTGATTATGATGGTGGTAATGATGATGATGATGATGATGATGATGATGATGATGATGATGATGATGATGCTGATGCTGATGCTGGTGCTGATGATGATGATGATGATGATGATGGATGGCGATGACGATGATGATGATGATGATGATGATGGAAGTGGTGGTGGTGGTGGTGATGCTGATGGTAATGGTGATGATGATGATGTGGATACTGATGATGCCGATGAGGAGGAGCACGATGATGATGGCGATGACGAGGATGATGATGATCATGCTGTTCTTGATGGTGCTGCTGATCATGATGATGCTGAAGATGCTGCTGCTTCTGCTGCTGCTGATGATGATGATGATGATGATGGAAGTGGTGGCGGCGGTGGTGATGTGATGGTGATGGTGATGGTGATGGTGATGGTGATGATGAGGATGATGATGATGATGATGATGATGATGATGATGATGATGATGATGATGGTGTTGTTGATGCTGATGATGTTGATGATGATGGTGATGAATGAGAAGATGATGATGATGATGGTGCTGATTCTGCGAATGATCATGTTGTTGCTGTTGGTGGTGGTGTTGTTGTTGATGGTGCTGATGGCAATGATGATGATGACAATGACAATGATGATGATGCTGATGATGATGCTGCTGCTGATGATGATGATGATGATGGTGATGATGATGACGACGACGGACGACGACGACGACGACGATGATGATGATGATGCTGATGATGATGATGATGACGATGATGATGATGATGCTGATGCTGATGCTGATGCTGATTGTGTTGATGATGATGATGATGATGATGATGATGATGATGATGATGATGATGATGCTGATGATGATGCTGCTGCTGATGGCGAGTTGGAGGAGGAGGAGGAGGTTGTGGAGGAGGAGGAGGAGTAACATGAGGATTGAGTTTTTCCGATGTTTCAGTATTTGTGTTTGTGTTTGTCTAACAAGGGTGTTCGATTTTTTTCGGATGATTTATGAGTTTTCGAGATTTTCAGGATCCTGGGTAGTTTACATCAGCTGCGCCTCGTCGGGAGCGTTCCGGGGCTGGTCGGATCGTCCCCAGCGGCCGCCCGCGGTCCGAGTTCTGGACCGAACATTGACAGGCCCCAGGGCAGTGCGCACACTCGAGTCAGCCACGGGGTGATCGAGATGGGGACGGAACTAGCGGGGACGAAGCTCCCCATCAGCTCTTGCTCACTTAGAGCTGGACTCGCTCCACCCCTGGGGTCCGACGGTGCGAACAAAAGCTGCAACATCGCGAGAAGCCACCTCGGCGGCGAGCGAGGGGGGGAGTGAGAAGGTGCATGCCTTCTCAGAAGGCGGCGGGGGACTTCACAGAAGCCCCCGCGCCTTCGGGGCAGTCTCCCGTGTCTTCGGGGAAGGCTCAGGACACTCCTCAGAAGACCCGATGCCGCGAGCAAAAGCTGCAACATCGCGAGAAACCACGACCAGGGCCCCAGGCTGGAGGGTTTGAAGGGCTTAGGCGACCCGTCCTCCTCCTCCTCCTCCTCCTCCTCCTCCTCCTCCCTTCTACTCCCTCCTCCGACCTCCTCCTCCTCCATCTCCACCTCTCCACCTCCTCCTCCTCCTCCTCCTCCTCCTCCTCCTCCTCCTCCTTGGGTCGCCTACGGCCCCGGGAGAGACCGTGCGCCCCAGGCCCCAGCCCGCTGCAGCACCTCGCTGCCAGCCAGACGTCCACTCCGACACGCCCGACCGAAGGTCAGCCAGAGCGCTGGATTTGCAGGATCCTGCAGAGCCAGGAGTGCACTGACCCAGGCTTGCGTGCATCGGAGGTTGATAGACCTCCTACCCTGACAGGTCGATTAGCGGATTGGCCGTTTTCGGTTCGTGAGAGGGCGTCGCGGCCGTCATTTTTGCGGGTTTTAGGCCCGTACGCCGTCTTCACTAAAGGGTGGTTTACCAAAGGGAGGTTTGTCCACCTCCGAGTGCAGGATCTTGCAGAATGCTGCAGGACCCTGCAGGATCCTACAGGGCCCGGCTGACCCGGGTTTGCGTCGACCCAGGTCAGCAGATCCCCGAGCCCAGATCTCAGGGCCCTCCCTCTGGTGGCCGCTGCTGCCGTCTGCCGCCCGAACGGGGCCCGATGCCGGATGCTGAGCACCCCTGCCCACAGGCACCGCCAGGCGGGCGGTCATGTGGACAGCCGCAGCGGCTTCGGATCGGAGGGGGCAAGGGAAGCGGGGGAGGGAAGAACGCGGAGCTGAGCACAAGGGGAGGCCTCCCATGTCTCCAGCCTCAGGGCCCTCCCTCCCTCGCGCGCCCCCCACGGGCGCGGACTTGCAGTGGCTCTTCCCCCCCCGCGCGCGCGTCTGCCGCAGGCGAAGACCCGCGGTGGCCCCCCGACCCCGCGGCGCCGCAGCTTGCGCCAGCCGCGCCGCTGCTCCGCGGCGAGGTGGCGACGACGACGACGACGACGACGACGACGACGACGACGACGACGACGACGACGACGACGACGACGACGACGACGACGACGACACAACGGTGACGACGACGACGACGGCGACGACGACGACGACGCCGACGCCGACGACGCTGACGCCGACGCCGACGCCGCCGCCTCCGCCGCCCGCGCCGCCGACGACGACGACGCCGACGCCGACGCGGGGCGGCGCGCCTCCCTGGCCCGGCGAGGGGCCGCTGGCGCCCGCGGGGGCAGCGCTCCTCGGCGGCGCCGCGTCTCAGTTGGCCGGGGTGGTGGAGCCCGTGGTGCTCGGTCCCGAGGCGGGGCGGGCCGTTGCAGGGCTCATGTCGACTCCTCCGATTTGGCTCGATTCCGAGGCCGACTCCGACTCGATTCGAGTTCGGATTCCGGTCTGGATGCCGGTTCGGGCTTTCCTGGCCTGCCGATCTCTGTCGGTTAGACTTCTCCCAGCTTGGCTGCCGATGTCCGCCGTTCAGATTCTTTTCGGTCGCCGATCCGACTTATCGATTCGATTCTGGGCTCTCCTGTGTTGGGGCCCAGGGGCGGCCTTCGGAGGCAGCGTTGGGGGGGCTTCGATCTCCGACGATATCGACGATCAATCATCGCGATCACGACGACAACAGTGAGAACGATAGGAACGATCACAGCGGTAACGATGATTGACATTGATCAGTGTTTTTTTGCTGCGCTGGGTAGATAGATACGTGACACAGAAGAAACAAATGCTCGCCGAAGACATTGCCGACGGTATGTTTTTTCAATCCCAGTGTTTTCCTGGTGAGAGTTCTGGCCCAGGGTTTTCTATCAGTTTGCGGTCTGAAGGCTTAAGTCGGACCTGTCCGTCTACAGGGGTAATTTTCAAAATTCACAACATTCCAAGAAGTTCGACTCTTGAAATAGACAGGGGTTCATGTGGACCTGGAAGTAGCCTCGCCCTTCAAAATTAGTTTAGAAATAGTCAGGGGATTTTTTTTTGCGTATTTTTGGGCATCTTTTTAGTATTTTTGAGTTTTTTGTTTTTCGCCACGTCCTTCTGCAGGGGGACAGGCCCGACCTAACCGAAGGCCCTGTACCAGAAGGGTGTCGAGCAGTAGGCGTCGGAGTGGGACACGTAAAAATACGTGAGCGGAGGGGGGGGGTCTCCAACACGAGTCTCGGCACGCGTGCGTTCGGCACGTGTTCTCACGCGCCTCGGGCCACGGCGGGGCCGCGAGCGAGGCATCCTGGCAGCCAAGCCGACTGGACCTAGTGTCCTGGCAGTTTTCGCCGTGATCGGACCACATCACACCAGAGGATACATGAGCCAAGCATGGCCGCGAGGACTGCTCTGGCTCGGGAAGACAGAGCAGGCGAGAGATCCGATCTGCAGCCGGCAAACTCTTGACACGTGCGCGCGGGGGGGGGGGGGGGCAACATGCACCTGGCGTCTGCGCGCGGGGCACGTGTTCTCACGTGTCCACGGGGTCCCGGGGGGGGGCCCGCTTGGGGGTGGCGAGTTCTCTGCGCACGTGAGGTGGCGTGCGCGGAGGGGGTGGCCCAGCAGAGGGAGGGCCCAACATGCGCCTGGCGCGTTTTCAGGAGGGGAACAACACACACAGACACAATTAATCGGCGATCCCCCGCAAAATATGGGAAAATATGGGAAGTGGGGGGAAGACGAAAACCCAGAAGGTATGGGAAATTATGGGTAATCTTTTTTTTTGTGTGTATTTATTTCTGTGTCCCAGGGCCCCTTTACGATTGCGCGGAGCTCGTGCTTACATGTTTTTCGGGCCACGACGGAGGCGCAAGCGAGGGGCCCAACTCGCCGTTGGCGCATCCTTGAACACACGTAAGAGTGCGTGCGCGGAGGGGGGGAGGCCCAAGAGGCCCCTGGTGCGTGCGAGCGGGGCACTCGTTTTCACGTGTCTACGGGAGCTCCGGGGTGGACCAAGCTTGGGGGTGGCGAGATTTCGGATGTGATGCTGCGTGCGCGGAAAGGGGCGGGGGGGGGCCATGGAGGGGGCGGGGCTGGCATGCGCCTTGCGCGTTCGCGCGGAGCACGTGCTTTCATTGTTTATCGGGCCACGGCGGGGCCGCAAGCGAGCTGCCCCGCTTGCAGGTGCGTAGAGATCTTGGGCACGTAGATCAGAGCAGGAAGAACACATAAGCACAAAGGGTATGATTGGTTTTACGCCAGAAAGGGGGCGTCGTTGAGAGGGTGCCTGGAACTGATGCGGAGATCGGGGTGGCGTCGGTGTTCGGAGCTGGCGGTTTGCGTGGCAAGTGCGTTTAGCCGGCCGCATTTGTTTGGATCGCGTGACGGGTGGAAAAGGCCGCTCACCAGCAAGTGGCAGTCCTCTGCCCGCGTGCCAAAACTGATCGTCGCGCGTTCGCAACGGGGTGTGGGCAAGGGAGTTGGGAAGAGAGCGCGAGTTTCCTTCCCAAAAGGTCCTTTCGATAGGCAGCAAACACATCTTTTTCTATTGATGAGGCCTGACGGCAGGTGCCGCCGACCCTGATCGAAAGGGCTAGGAATGGGGGGAGGAAACGGAGGATGAGGAGGAGGAGGAGGAGGAGGAGGAGGAGGAGGAGGAGGCGGAGGAGGAGGGAGGGAGGAGGAGGAGGAGGAGGAGGAGGAGGAGGGAGGAGGAGGAGGAGAGGAGGAGGAGGAGGAGGAGGAGGAGGGAGGAGAGGAGGAGGAGGAGGAGGAGGAGGAGGAAGTGCATCCTTTGTGTGCCCGCTCGAAGAAAGTGCGCCCCGGGAGTGTGATATTCTGACTTGGGACGTGCTCCCGGAAGAGGAAGAAGTGCATCTCGGGCGTGCCCGCTCGAGGAAAATGCGCCCTAGGGGGGTGGTATTTTGACTCGGGGCCCGCTCCCGGGACGCCTCTGCGGGAGGAGGAGGAGGAGGAGGAGGAGGAGGGAGGAGGAGAAGGAGGAGAGGAGCAGGAGGAGGAGGAGGAGGAGGAGGAAAAGGAGGAGGAGGAGGACCAGGAGGAGGAGGAAGTGCATCCCGTGCGTGCCCGCTCGAGGAAAGTGCGCCCCGGCGGGCGTCGTATCTGCCCCGGCCCCCCCCCCCTCCCCCCCCCCTGCGGGGAAGGGATCAAAGGGAAGGGGCTTCCCTTCGACTCCACTACGACGTCGTTTAATTTCGCTTTGGATAGCGCGCTTGAGGAGGAGAGCCCTGGGAGGGGGAGAACGGAGACGACGGAGGCGACGAGTCGAACGGAAAAGCCCCTCACACACGCCGACAGGGTCGGCGGATTCATATGCCCACGGCCAATTGAACGAACGAGCAACTGCCTCGGCGCGCAGTGTTAGCTTCGCTTGCGCGCATCTTGGCTTCCTTCCGTTGTTTCCTTCGCTTCTTTCTCGCCCTCCTCTTCGTTTTCCTCGTCCCCTGCTTTGCCTTGTCCCGCCCCCCCTTCCTTTCGAGCTCGGAGCTGTCACCGCGCGCGAAAAGCGCAACCCAAAGGGCGTTGCTGTGATTCCTCAGTGTGCCACGAAGTCTCGTGTAATTCCTTTGTGTGCGGTCTGGTTACAGTGCCAACGCGGGGGGCACACAAAGGAATTTCCTTTGTGTACCATCGTCTTCGCCGGCCTCACAAGAGCACGCGCGATTCTTTTGTGTAGAGCTTGTTTTCCCGCTTCGAGGAGCGCGCGGGGCCTGGCGCTACGAACGCAAGGCCGCGGCGCCTGGCAGTGCGATGCAGCTGCGCCGGGTACCATGCCCAACGCGATCTTACTTGGATTCCAGCACTTATGCTGAAATCGCGCTGGCAGTTGGCCAGCCACATCGCCGGCCTTGCATGCCCTCGCGCGCTACTGCGTTCTGCTGCCGCGACGCGTGCTGCTGTCAACGGATGAACAAACTGACGTTGCATGGTGGTTTGGCTGTGCCAAACCACCATGTAATGTTTGTAGGTCGCGGAGCTTGGGATCCTGTCGCCGCCGACAGCGCTGCCACGCCATACATTTCAAGTGCATATTCGAGCACGGAGGGGGGAGGCCCGACGTGTCCCTGGTTTGTGCGCGCGGGGCGCGTGTTTCAAGGTGTCCAC